TATATTCACTCATACTGAAATTGCACCATGTTAGTACACATACGAAAAATAGAAACACCCCATTAGCACGTCACCCCAACATAGTATACACCTTCCAATCCATAACACACCACGTTGACCCATTACATGCAACACCATACAAAAACAAGACATTTTCACTTTCCAACACACTAAATTAACTATTTTTAAGTACATAACACAAAAAACCAATGCACCATAAACATACATCCCCTGCCATACCAATCAACATTACACTAACGCTAATAAATCGCGTCCATCAATCCAAAAACCATACACGTGCGATTATTATTTCTAGATTTGAACTGGCCATCAGAATGACATTAATTGATTCCCTCAATTAGCATATCTTCGGCCAGATCAAACTCTTGCCCTACACAAAACCTAATGCCACCACATACATTGCCACATACATTGCCCAAATATGACTACGCCAGCTCCAATAAACAACATCTCGCATTTGATGACGTAATCCTTCACCACACCAAAATAAAAACTCCAGACAAACTGACCCCCATCTCAAATATGTGAGTACACCAGTCACACATTTACATGAACACCATTACTACATGCATTCAATGTAACAAAAAACACAAACACCAAACGTCAGGACAATATGCACCAACAACAAAATATCAAGCCCAAAATGGCAGGACATCCCCAATCACAACATATCATTACCATAACACTTACATTTACCATACGAACATTAACAAACTAACATATGCAACAACCTTGCATTTGTCAAAAAATCCTCATTCTCAGCAACACAATATCAAGTACACAATAATGTGAGTTTCGTTGGATATCACACACATCACCCTTCTGACAAAAATCAACCGGACCAACACAGACAGAATCAAGATACATGTACACCAACGATTAACGTACCTGGAGCCATTATTGTCAAACACAGCCACTTTCGCCGGAGTATGAAGGTTTTCCAGTCACCGCACGAATACACAACAGCGTCCCAGTCACCCAAGCCACCGGTGTCGACGTATCAATAGGGAAACGATTGCGTATTTGCTAGGTTTTAGGGTAAAATTCAAATTTGTATTCTATTGCCCCAATCCACAAGAATTCAACGTTGCCAATTACAAATCTTGATTTACCCTACCCAACATTACGCCATTAACATCGGCATACCGTTAAAATTTTCATACACGTCTCTTCGATTTTGATCTTCTTGGAAGGAAAAGAAACATCAACATGGTAAGGGTTTTGGGCATATTAGTCAATTCAACATTGGGGCATTCCACATTTACCCTAAATACTACGTGCCAAATAGAGTACAACACAGGTTATTTTGTCATTAACGTTAGATTGGGACTTATTAGACTATAAGATAAAAGATAGAACCAAATGGATCAGAAGATAAGGATTTGGGATTTATTGATGCATCTCCCAATAAATTATAACATATTAATTAAATGAGAAACATTTCTACCAAACCTTGCCAAAAAAAAAAAAAAACCTATGAAAGAAAATTCAACACATTAATTAAATGAGAAACATTTATACCAAAATGTCAACTACTATGGATTATCATAATTGCAAAAATATGATAATCACATCATTTTATATAAAATAATTTGTATATTTAATATTTTTCTTATAACAAAAAGTTTATTGTACTTTTTTAACAATCGGGTGTTCGAATCAACTTGTACACACATCTCGATTAATCTCATAATCTTGAAATTAACGACCGGGTAATTTTCCAGTAACCATTTGAGGTGACTCAAATTTTACATTTTTGTATCTTTTTCTCTAAATCTTTATTATTCAGCTAATTCCTTAAAATTTTATAAGAAATAAAAATTATTCTACTTAAAAATTGAGTTTGCGTGTTCCTTTTTCTCTCTCTTCTTTTAAGGCCTAGTTTGGGAAGACTAAATAAGTGTACTTTTTGACTTTTTATGAAATATGAGTTGGGTTTGGATTGGGTTTGAAGTGATGTGTTAGAGAGGTGATGTGACTTAAATAAGATGATGTGACTTAAATAAGATAATGACTTTTTGACTTTTTGTCTTTTTTCAATCATCCCAAACTCGGCCTAAGTTTCTACTTGCCTCTTTAATGATTCCACAATTACTTTTTTCAAAGGGGGTGGCCCTCTTTTGAATTACAAAACCCTCACCCTATTTTCAGATTTCGTTTGACATAAAAGATTTGAGTTAAAAAAATTACAAAAAGATAAAATAAATTAAAAAATTAATAAAATAAAATGTCACATTCAAATCATAATTATATTATTTTTTTCTTATAAAAATAAAAAATAAATAAAAAAAATGAAAATTTACTCATAAGTCCTAGTTTTTGAAACGTTGAACCATTTAGTCCTAAAAGTTTTTTTATGCTCCATTTAGTCTCATTTTTACATCAACATGATGTGAATGATGTAAATGATCTGATGTTTCATTCTATAATTTCAAAATTTATTGAAATCTGATGAACATTAGATGTTTGAAATCCAATGTTTGTAACATGACTCTGATGTTATTAACATTGTATCTGATGTTATTAACATTGTAATGGGACCTTTCAGTCTATAAGAAAACTTTTAGGACTAAACAGTGCATAAGTTATTAATTTGGGATTTATTGGTGCATCCCTCTAAAAAAAATTCATCCCAAAAAAACTTTTTAACCCTATACTAATAACTGAAAAGTCAAATAAACCAAACTTACATCACAATTGAAGGCTGAATATATATGATGGGCATGGCTTTAACACAAAAACTAAACCCTTAAAAAAACTTCTAAAATAAGTAAAATATCAAATTAGAAAACTATTTTGCTCAACTTAAAGTGGCAAGTAAAGTGGGTTATGGTGTGCCATTATCATAAAACAGAGCAAGTTTGGTACTTGTTTCCTCTGAAAAGAAATCCAGACAATGATGCTTCGCTATGGAGTAACTATGCCACTAGTTCTTAACCACCCACATTAGGTTTAATCTCAAATCAATTACTATCGACTGCATTAGAAAAGTAATAAAACTCGAAATTTCACTATTTTAAGATCATCTTTCATGAGAATTGCTAGCACAGAGTTAATTGCTGGCAACTCTAAAATGACATTTCCAAAAGCATCAGCAAGAACGGTTAGACAACATTTCTAAAATGTCATAAACTTGAGAAGACGTTGGCATCTTTGGTGTTTTAACAAAAAAGCCGCTGTAAGTTTTATCAGCACTTTTAGATTTTGTTTGAGATGTGAGTTAACTTTTAATTTTTTAGCTTTCTTATTATTTTAGCCTGAGGTTAAAAATTTCGTTTGAAATAGGTTTTTTTGACTTTTTTGATTTTTGTAAAAGAATTGGATGTGACATTTTGTCTTTCTAGGTTAAAAAGTCTATTTTATTTTATTTTTTTTTTGTGTGACTATTTTAGTCAAAAAGTCTCCGTTTAACTTATGCCAAACGAAGATTTAGAATTAGTGACTTTTTAAAACACCATTAGAAACCTAATTTCCTGTAATAGCATAGGTTATTATTAAAGAGTAATTATATTATTGGTTTTGAATCGTCACGTCAAGTTTGATTTTTAACCAACTATACCTAGTCATATAAAAAAAATGAGGTTCTAAATATAATTTTAAGAAGATCTAACCTAATGTAGACAGGTTAAATTTTCGATCTTTGGTCTTATTTGGTACAATTTTTTATAAACTAAAAGCAAAAATCAAGTACATCTTCTTGAATTTTAAGATATTTAAAATTTATAGTTTTTAAAATTATTTATGCATAATCTTTGGGGAAATTTTTTTAAGGTTCCGAATATTAAAATTTTATAAGATAAATGACATACAATATTTTTATAGTAGTGTAGGTCCATTAAGATTTTTACAGAGAAATTTTGCTATAGAGAAATTTCAAAATTTTTCTGAGTCGGGTAAAATTTTTTTAAGTTGAATTTTCTCTATAGAAATATTGCGGGACCGAGTGGTGATTCATCCCACTAATTTTTGGACCACTAATAGCTCTAATGAGCTTAAAAAAAAAAAAAAAAAACTAAAGCCAAAACATCACATCACTTTGGTGGGGGCCACTGTGCCACATCATTAGTGATGCTCTAGAGCTCTCAATTTAGTGGTCTAAAACATTATTCATATACTAAAATAGTTAATAAAATAAAGGCTTGTTTTGGGAAGTTGGCTTTTAGTCACTTTTTTTGGTTTGTAATAAAAGTCAAAAGTTGGTTTTTTTGATTTTTTTTTTTCATTTGGGAAGTAGTTTTTAGCTAATGGTGAAATTACAATTTTGTCCCTCATGGGTCAAAATGTGTTACATAGGTAAAGTTGTAAATATTTTAAACTAAATGGGGGTAGTTTGGTCATTTTATTATGATTTGACATCATAAACAAATATTAATAAAAAAAGTCAAAAGTCACTTTTTACCAACTTTTCAAATCATTTGTCAAAAAAATCCAAAAACTTGGTTAAAAGTCAAAAAGTTACTTTTTACCATCTTTCCAAAATAAGTCAAAATATTATATCAAACTCATAATCATTTCTCTCAAATCAATCACAAAAAAAAAAAAAAAAAACGGGTCAACCAATTTCTGAAACACAATTATTTTAACTAAGCTAAAATAATCAAAAATAAATAAATAACTCACTAAAATAATGAACTTCTCAAACAAAGCAACAGATTGCACCAAACAACTCATTTTACTCGCACAGTCGATTATGATTGATCGGGACTAAATCTAACGTAACGGTGACAAAGCACCAAATATTTCTTTGTGAGGCGGATATGAAAATAACAAAAACAGGGGCAGAAATGATAATACACCAAAACTAGAGAGTCCATTGCAAGAACACAACATTAGTTGGGAAAATAGACAAATGAGTAGTGATTTGGGCACCCAAATGGTGCACCATACACTACTAAAAAACAAAAATAAGAAAATAAAACACTAAAAAAATAAATAAAATATAAAAGTATGGTGTGGATATTGCAGCAACACATACAGACCTCCCATCCATGCGCTTAAGATGAGAGAGACATTTTAGTAGTTGTAGAGAGAGAAAGTAAGAGAGAGAAGGGGGGAAGGAAGGAGTTTTGGGAGAGGGTTTAGGTAGACCAACTGGTAGTTAGAGATTGAACTCCTTAACCAAACACCATCAACAGCAAGAAAACCAGGTCAAGCATCACCACCAACTTAGAAAGAAAAATAGAAAGAAAGCAAAAGCTAGAAAGAGAATCCATTAAAAGAGAGAGAGAAACAGAGATTGGAAAAAGAAAGTTATGATTTTCTTTTGGAGAAGGGTTTGAATTCCTCTGATAAAAGAAACCCTTTTTACACAAATTTATATCTCTATATATATATATATAGAGAGAGAGAGAGAGAGAGAGAGAATTGGGTGTCTGTGTCTGTAACTCTCATCATCACGTGGGTATTGATGGTGTGATGGATAGAGAATATATGATTGATTAGTAAAACGAGCAAAGGGTTTATGATTTTTGTACTTTGAAGAACTTTAATATATATATTTATATATAAAGTTCATTTTCTGGGTTTTCTTTTTCTTTTTCAATTTTATTTTTTTCACGAATTGATTGGTTTGTCTGTGTGTGTGTGTTTGATGAAAAAGAGGTTGTTTTGTTTCTCGGGATCGGTTTGTCTCTGTTCAGCCGATCGGAGCTTTTCTGTTCCCCACAATACCCACAACTCTTGCTCGTTTTCAGGTACATTTTTCTTCTATTTTTTATTATTTTTTTAATTTTATATCTCTGGTTTTGTTTTCATTTTTATCTCTCTGGCTTTGTTTTCAGGAGTAGATGATGTTGATGATTGAAAATATATTTTTTGTTTTTTGTAATTTTATGTTTATGGCTTGTTCGGTAATGGGTCTTCCTCACTTCTTATCCTAATAATTTTCAACATTTTTTTTCCTCAAGAGTTCAAAAAAATTATTTACTTTTTGTAAATTCTCTCTTTTGGGTTTTCAAGACTCATTTTTGGCTTCTTTTGGGTTAGTTTTCTAGGGTTTTGGTTTTTTTGGTAGCTTCTTTTATCTACTTGATTTTTTAATCTTTTTTACAATTGTATGAGTTAGAAAAAAGTATTAAGTTGTATCGTGTAATGATAAAGACTTAAATATAACTTGTATGAGTAGAATGGGATTGAATAATTCATTTATTGAATAAGTCTTCATCATTGATATATTTCGTGTCAACTCTAATTAGTTAAAGGTTTCCAAAAATCTACTTGATTAAACTTCATGTTTGTTTCAGTTAAATGCAAACTTGAAAATTGAAAATTTCAATGATTTTCTATTCATGTTTTGATGAAAGTGGTTCTTTTTGTTATTGATGATGCATTGAGTATCTCACTATTGAATGTTGACTTACAAGTCTCTTTTCTTAGAATTCAAGGCCTCGTTTGGGAACAGGCTAATTTAGTAACTTTTTGGCTAATTGGCTAAAAAGGTAAGTAAAAAAAACTTGTATGTTTGGGATGACTTTTTGACTAATTACGAAAAGTTGTGCAAAAAGTAGAGAGAAGCCGTAATTGTTGACTTTTTGGTATGACTAATTGGCTAATTGGCTAATTTAGTAACTTTTTGGCTTTTTGGCTAAAACAGAGCCTTCCCAAACGAGGCCAAATTTCCCTTAAATTTAGTGCTTCAAGCACCAATTTTGATATAGAAATCAAATTGTCGAACTCATTTTTCTCATTAATCATTTTTAGCTCTCGGAGCAACTAGGTAATCCAACACATATCAAGTTCTTAGACTGAATAGAGAGAAAAGGATCAATGGCTACTTTCTTCCCCAACTCAAATGACCAAAGATATGCTGCTCCAATGCTTTACTTAAGGGAATCATTACCAAGTTCTTACTCCGAATCACCGGTCATTCCTTCTAACATGATGATGTATGTGAACAACTATTCTTCTTCTTCGGGGCCATGTACCGACACGTTGGCAGGGAATTCCAATGACATTCCCCCCGGGGCCGCTTCTGCTTCCACTCCGCCACATCAGGAAATCCTATCGAATCTTGGAGGGTCCCGAATTGGAGAGCACGATTTCAATGGATGGGGCAATGGTAGAGGTGAAATGCCATTTATGCCCCCAATGGGTAGTGCCATTGGTATTCTTCAAGGTGTGCAAAATTTGCAGGGTCAAGGACTGTCCCTTAGCCTAAGTACCCAAATCCCATCCACGGGGCAAGTGCCTTCTATGGAGTACCGGGGTCCTAATTCAGGTTTTTCCTCGTTCTTGAACCCTCTGTCGATTTCAGGGGAAGGTCTCGGAGGCAATTCAGATTCAATGAAACCAGATATGTCTGCTTATGGAATGTCTAGTGTTGCAAGGATTATTCCCAATTCAAAGTACTTGAAAGCAGCTCAACAACTGCTTGATGAGGTGGTTAATGTACGGAACGCTCTGAAACAGCAGGACTCGAAGAAAGGCCCAACAAACAACTTGAAAGAAGATGATCATGGCGGATCAAAGAATGAAACCACATTGCCGAGTGGAGGAGTGTCTTCAAATCCACAAGACTCAGCCAGTAACTCGCCTAGCGAGCTTTCAGCAGCTGAAAAACAGGATCTGCAGAACAAGTTGACAAAGCTTTTGTCCATGTTGGATGAGGTAAAGCCAATGCTAGTTTTATCTTTTGCATCATTGGGTGGTTCCCCAATTCTCTCAAATATATATTCTGTTTTTTGTGATAAAATTTCTTCTTTTATTTTCATTTTCATACAGTTTTGTACTATTTGTTGCTGCTTGGGGTTTGGTATTTTGCTTATCAAAAAAATAAAAAATAAAAAGGTCAAACATAAACTTGTATCTTTCATCTCGCAAGTGGATAAGGAATTCAGAATTGATTTGGTGGTTTGAACACATGGTGAACGATTGTTAGCATCTGAAAATTCTCATTCGTCGATAGTTTGAAGGCTGTGAACTTTCTCCAGCATGGAAATTCAATCAACACAGAGTTACTATTAATTGAAAGAATGTGTCTATGCACACAACCGGGAACTTGCAGTCCATTCGATCGCAAACACGATTTTGCAGTGTACATAAGGATTTATAGTGCTGATTCTACTAAAAGATAATTTTCCAGCCTTCTTAGAGCAGTAGGGTATAGAGTTCATTTTCATATGCATAAAGTGCAAACAACTAGATGTGATAGAACTGTTAGGGCTACAAGAAATGCGGTTATGGTCCCTTTTTAGGGTAATTAAGTATTAATTTAGTTAGAGATATAAACCATGATGTTGGTCTTCATTAATTAAGACTTGTGACTCGAGAAGGAATTTTAATACGAGACTATATTCTGAAAATAGACAACTTTTCTGCTAGATAAGGTAAGTAGTTTGTTTCCTAAATTTGCAAAACTTGTTTTAGGACAAAGTCCCAGACATTGGAAATCAATAATAAAATTGAATGAGCTCTGCACATGTGACCTCTTGTATTGCAAAGGCCAATCGAACATGCCTAATATTATCAAAAGTTTTGGTTAATGCTTCCTTTAATGTTCTAAAGTATATTTTATAGTTCTTATTTACTTCATCACTCTCGCCATCAAGGTATGAGTTGTATTTGCTGGAGGCAGACTTTTTATGATGTTAGTTGAGTACACAATGACGGTCCGACATCTTTAAAAACAAGGCACAATGTCGAATGCCATAAAAGACATGTGAAATCCTCCCTAACATCAATTCGTTAACTAGTGATTGATTTAGTTGTAATTCTATATTTCTACTTTATTGTTTGACTAATCAGACTAGCATGGTTTAAATTGTCTTTCTCTGCTATCTTGTAACCTAACTATTGCATGATGGTGTGATGGTTCTAGGTCTTGAAAGGTTATGAAGTTTGAGAACCATGTCCGTGGTCTTCTTCTATAAAATAATTGATCATTCTTTTTGCAGGTTGATAGAAGGTACAAGCAATATTATCACCAAATGCAAATTGTGGTATCATCATTCGATGTCATAGCAGGGTGTGGAGCAGCAAAACCATACACTGCACTTGCCCTGCAGACAATTTCACGCCACTTTCGTTGCTTGCGCGACACAATAACTGGCCAGATTCGAGTGTCGAGGAGAAGCCTTGGAGAGCAAGATGCTTCAGCAAATGGAAAAGGCGTTGGAATTTCACGCCTTCGATATGTGGATCAACACCTCAGGCAACAGAGAGCGCTTCAACAACTTGGTATGATGCAACAACACGCGTGGCGGCCACAGAGGGGGCTGCCTGAAAGCTCGGTTTCTGTTCTTCGTGCTTGGCTATTTGAACATTTCCTTCATCCGTAAATCACCTAATTTTTTTTAATCTCAATTTTTATTTTATTTTATTTTATTGAGTTGTGCAATTCAATTGATTGGAATGATGATTTATTTTATTTTATTTTGCAGCTATCCTAAAGATTCTGATAAGATCATGCTGGCAAGGCAGACAGGCTTGACAAGAAGTCAGGTAAAGAACTTTGTTAAGTATTAAAAGGCTATGTGCAAGATATTAAGATCTTCAATGGATTTATGGAGGCATATAAAAGGATAATTTTCAGTTGGTTGACCTTTGATATCACCCCCCTTTCCTTTTTTTGCTGCATCAAAACGACCAAAATCACTGATAAAACTTAGATTTGGACTTAGTCTTTGGGAATGAAAAACTAAGGGTGAACGATTTGTTGAAAAGTATTGTTATGACAGAACAAATGAAAATGAGAAGTACTAGAGAGCAATCACGTAAGAATACAAAGATATGTTGATGGCAGAAGGTTTCACACTATTAAAAGAGTATACAAAAAGCAGCTGTCTCTCTCAAAACCGTCTATAATGAGAGTTCTCTCTAATTACATAATCCTAATCCCCAAAATAACCCATAATATATACTAAGACCCGAATACAACAAGAATCGGGTCAGACCTACCAGTCAGGGGGGTTCGCAGGTGGATAGAATACGAGACACCCACAACATTTATTAATATTGGCTTGAACATGAAAAAAATTGGTTATGTGGGCTTCTTTTAAATTCATGAACTATTTCTTGAATTATGGTATTAATATTGACTTGAACATGATTAAAAAAAATGATCATGTGGGTTTTTTCAATAACTTAAAGAAATCTTACAACAGTGAATATCATTTTCCTCTGTAATATGGGTAGTTGGTTATCTTCTTTATGTTTCATCGAAAGCATTTCAAATTTATTGGTCATCTTGTTATTTGTTCTACTTCTGTGATATATTGATTCATCTTTTTTGTCTGTCTAAGGTCTCAAACTGGTTTATAAATGCACGGGTGCGTCTCTGGAAGCCCATGGTTGAAGAGATGTACAAAGAAGAAGCCGGTGATGCAGAGATGGACTCAAATTCTTCATCTGAAGTTGCACCTAAAGCAATGAATGGCGATGATATCAGTGCATCCGAGGATAGAGGTGAAGATTTACAACATGGTGCAACTTCCACAGCAACCGAACAATGTAGCACTGGACAACAATTCCTTGACTCCAAACACGACCATGTTCCTGACTTAGAAATGTTGGGAACAACTTCCAATACCAATTTCCAAAACGGGACTCATGGAGGAACAGAAATTGAATATGGGGTAGCGAAAACAAGGCCTAGTGTGGATGAGGGTAGTGTTTTCCCGGATACAATTGTTGAGTCTGATGGAGGTACTGGGAGGTATATGACAAGTGCATACCACTTCTCAGAGTTGGGGCGGTTTGGAAATGGGATCGGTGTGTCACTCACTTTAGGATTGCAGCATTGTGAGGGTGGTGGTGGCATCCCCATGTCCGTCGATCAGAATCATCACGGTTTCGTTTCTGTCCGAGGGGATGAGGTATACAATACCGCATCTTCCTCCATGGGGCCTCAGACATCAGATTTTGACACCATGGATTCTGGAAACCGGCAACACAGATATAGCTCATCCCATCTTTTACATGATTTTGTAGCATAAGAAATGCAACTTTGGTGAATTTTTGGGAGAGAAAAAAAGCCTAAGTGCACAGAGAAATTTCACAGAATGAGGCGTTGATACGAGACAACATGCGAGTCCCACCCTTTTGTCTAACATCTGTGTTTCATTCTGTGAAATTCTTCTGTACTCCTAGCACAGATGATTTTTGTGCTCTTCTAAAGGTGGGGAAGAGGAACAAGGGATAGAAATAGCTAGGCTTCAAACTTTTCTATGAAGAACATTAATTTTCCTTGCAAATTGATTAAAGATGAAGCTTAGTACCTTTGAATATGGAAAATATATGGAACACAGATGATGTATTATAATGAAAGATTGGAAGGGCGTTTGCGTATTTGTAAAGATGATACATGTATTTTTTTTGTTATATATGTTGGAGGAATTTGTAATATTACTTCTTCAAGTTTGGTGTTTGAAAATGTGGATTATGATCATATTATTTTGAAATAAAGATGTATGAAGGAGGAATTTGTGTCATTTTGAATTTTTTGATATTGATAATACCATCATATGTTATTTACTGCATTTTTGTATCTCTCATTTTTCTGTTCTTTCTAAGATATTCTGTTCTATTTGAAGCTCTCATTTTCTGATCTTCAAAGAAAGTTTGTTCCGTTTGAAGCTAGATCATTGTGTATGAACTTGATCTTTCCGCTAATCACTTTACTGGAGATCAGGGCACGGCCTCCTTTGTCTCTAAAATTTATGTCATCCTATTCCTAATGCACTTGTATCTGTATTGAGATTTTTATATTTCGAGGATTGAAGTGTATTGGAGACAACAATTTTGAAGATAAAATAACATTTGTATTCTCTTCCTTCAAAAACACACCTCTAACATTACCAGCTCTCTTCGCATCCATCGGGACGAGCGTTGCATCTGTCTTATCTTCTCCTAAGGTCTGTTGTTTTGGAAGGCCATCTCTCGAATCCGAGCAACAAAACATTTGAACAGCATAATTCGTTATTTAAAAAAAACAAAATTAAAAAATGTCAACGAAAGGGATATCCTGATATTCCCTCAAACAAATGACACAAGAAAGCAGTAAATAGAATAGAAACAACTATCAACTTCTGAAACAACTCCATACTATCATGATTATCTAACCAAGGCACACAAGAAGTCCCAAACTTTCTGCCAAATCCAAAAACAAAAACAAAAACAAAATCATGGCAATTTTTCTTATGCTTTTTCAAGCAATATAATCCGTTTTACAAAAACGGCTAATGTCCCATTGACAAGAGATCTATTGAAAAAAGGTCAAAAAGTCACCAAAAAGATAAAAAAATGTTAACAAATTCAACCCCATTAGTAAAAATCACATCACATCATTCAGACACCTTTCCCCTCACAGCTACATGTTCAACTAAAAAAAAACCATTCCAAACACATTGGCTGTGTTTGGTTTAAGTTTGAAATCAATTTTTCACCCAGATATTTGAATGTTATGTTTAGTTTAAGTTTTTAAAAATTGATTTTGAGGCCATAGTTTTTGAATTTTGAATTTACGGATTGGGCCTACCTAGTCATCCGCCCGGACATCCCCAAATGTTCAGTCGGTTGACTAGAACAGTGTTTTTTTTTTGCAATTGTAACTTGTTATTTGAAAAAATATACATATATATTTACTTTTGATATTTTTTAAATATAGAAAATAATTTTAAATCCAACCAAATATACAATCAAAGTAATTTTAAAACACTAGCTGATATTATTTTTTTAATATTTTAAATAAAAAATATTTTCAAAATTTTTAAATAAAAAAATTATTTTTTCAACAATTATTTTTTTGAATTAAATTTTAAAAAGAATTTAGTTATGAATTTTGAATAAAATTTTTAAAAAAGTTTTGAATTGTATGTTTGATTATGAGTTATAAATTTTTGAATTAAGTATTAAAAATTCTTTTCAAAACTCATAACCAAACAACTTTTTTCATTTTAAAACTCATTTCACAAATTCAAAACTCTATTCAAAATTTATAACCAAACAAATTTTCTTTTTTCAAATCATAATTCAAAAACTCAAAATATAACTCCACACTCAAATCTCACAAACTCAAAATATAACTCCACACTCAAATCATAATTCTAAAACTAAACTAAACGCTACCATTGATTTTTTTACCTCATAATAGAACCAAAAAGCCACACACACACACACACACACACACAAAAGCCAAGTTTCCAAACGAGCACTACAGTTCTAGACTATGAAACTAAATAAATCAACATTTGGCTTAACCTGTTTCACGCTCTCAAATACAAGTATACATCAACATTAATCACAGAAAACAGCATGAAAGTTATGCAGAAAATACACAACACACAAAAACGATCTATCCTGCAAGCATAACTTTCATAAAGCATGTATTTACAACTTCACTTCTGAAATGAGCTGCTGCCCTGTACAGAGAGAAGGATCCTAAACTTTACAATTCCAGAAAGAGTCAAAAGAGAGTCATTCTCAATTCACATTCACAAACCTTAAATGAACATCTTAATAAACTTAAAACACTTTTCTTGCTCCACAGAACCTAACATATGTCTGATTCTCAACAAGCATCTAAAACAAAATTGCTACAAAGAAACCATCCTACACTGCCTGTCAGAGTTCCATACTGTGAAGAAATTACAGCCTGAGAATCAGTAACGAGGACATGTCAAAAATTTACATCTACAGCCCATGCCTCAGACCTACATCGCCATTTACCTACAAAAAAGAAAAGAAAAGAATTCAGATGTAAATCATGATAAAATTTTGGGTAAATTACACTAACTTCCGCTAAAATGTTATGTGAATTAAAACTTTAAGCAAACCCAATGTAATTATGTCTAACTTGTAAGACTTTTACTATATTTTCTCTAAACCTTAAGGTGCAATTGTAAAGATGTGGGGGTGCAAGTCTCACTTGCACTCCTCCATGTTTGTGTATTTTCTTTTTTCTCTGTCCAACTGTTAAGTAATTTTCCCTTAAATTTATATGTTTAGCTCAATAAGTATAAATTTTGACTAACCTTTTGTACAGAGCTTTTATATCTTCACTCAACTTCGAGGTCTCCAAGAACTGGTCGCCACAGTCACTCACGTTGACAGTCTCCATTTCAAACTCTTGCTGACCACAATACTCATTCCATTCGAACCACATCTTTGCAATAGTTTCCTTTCTGAAGCAAGTCATGTGGTCTTCCTCTTCCGGCGAGCCAGCAGCAACCAACCGATAGGTGTACACTTTCTTCTCTTGACCTGGTCGGAAGGCACGCCCAATTGCTTGACGAGTGACCGATGGATTCAGATGGACGTCCAGGATGATGATTCGTGAGGCACCCACTAGAGATATTCCTTCCCCACACGCTTTTACTGATCCAAAGAAGACTCGAGCATCTGGGGAAGTGTTAAAACGATCCATGGACCACTCTCTAATCTCAGAACTGGAATCACCGGTGATTACAAACATTTCTTTTCCCAGAGTCCAACCCTTCACTTTCATTGCAAGCCTTTCCAAGAACTTAAGTGGCTGGAGATAATGACTGAAAACCAATAGCTTCTCATCACCTGATTCGCACAAGCCTAATAGATTAAGGAAGAACTTTGCCTTCACTCCTTCTCTAATATCCAACTTCTCTAAGATCTGGTCCATCCGGGCATCATCAAGCCCCTCTCTTTCTCTAGTTGACGTGTCTCTAGGTGAACTCTTTAGGAGAGATCTCAACTGTGGGTGCACATAAAGTGCGCTCCCATCCGAGCTAATTTTGAACTTCCTAACTAAGTTCTTTAGTTCTTCAACTTCACGCTTTTGTCTAGGGCTGAGGTGAAGAAATACAGTAAAGTCAACAAGCCCAGGCAATTCATCAAGAAAATCTCCTTTGTAGAAATGGAGAACCTTGCCTGTCATTTCACGCAAGTCTTGAATGACAGTAACCTTTCTCTTGAAATTCTCATCTTTCTGTAGTGCTCGCTCTACTGATTCATAGAACACATTGTCCAAGCCCTTTGCCTTCATATGCTTCCTCCTCATGCTTGGCACTCTGCTCAAGATCCGCCTCATAATCGCACGAGAAGTATCCATCTTCAAGAATTTTGGGCGAACGAGATCAAAAATGTTGAAGACCTCTTTGACATGGTTCTGATAAAGGGTGCCTGAAAGTACAACTTTTCGGGGCGTCTGGACTTTCTTCAGCGAGTTTAGGACATCTGTATTCTCATTTCTAGGAGTATGACCTTCATCCAGAATGAGAATGGATGGGTACGTTAGCAGTATTTCTTGGCAGGCAGCGGCAGTCTTGTTGGTATCGTTGTCACATACAATTGAAGAAAACTGCTTGTATCCCAGAAAAAGTATGCTTCTCTGATCTGCCCACTGTTTTAGCACCTCAAGCTGCTGTGCTCGATTATCGGCTTTTACGGAGTAGAAGTCATATAGCGGAATGTCCTCAACTTGCCATCTCAAAAACTCTTTCTTCCATGTAGCCAGAATGCCTCTTGGCAGCACCACCAATGGTCTAGCATGGGGATACTTGGCCAAAAAACTCTGCATAAAACTAATTATCATGAAAGTTTTTCCAGAACCAGGAGCATGGGCCATGATGCAGCCACCTGGATTCTCTGAAACCAAATTACTCAGTAGAAAATTGAAGCCCTCAACTTGATGGGGTTTCATTTGTTTTTTGTGCCTGGGATGAGCAGCAATTTCAGTGACAGCAAAATCCTGTCCAGATAATTTAACCCCATCATGAAATATTTCAGTTGCTTCCTTGTCCTTTATAGTCCGGCCATCATAAAAGTATGTGCGTGTAGACCTTGTGCCCTAAGTCAAAAAGAAAATGGAGCAAATTAGTCAAAGAAAATCCAATCGAGAGAAAATCAGTAGCTAACCTACAAAAAAAATTATGAAGAAAATTGAGAAACTGGTAAATTAGCAACGTTGTAAAGCTACTGAACATATAAAGAAATAAATAAATAATACATAACCTACCAATTAACAGTTAAGAAAGAAATAAATAGACAACGATATCATATAACCTGGCCAGCTTTGGTTTTACAAAAATTAGCTACCTTATAAGTGCCAGTTGCTAATTTTAGGTGAATTAGTCAGACTACTCAGACATAGATCCAAATACACATAGATACATATCAATAAGTTAGCCTCAAATGTGAAAGCTTCTCTTTCAGAGACAGTAGGAACAGAAGCATCCATTACATTGTACAAAAATGTGAGCAACAATCCACCATACAAGAAGGCCTAGGTGCATGAGCTAAAAATGGATTTTGAGCCATGAAAGAATGCATAAAGTTCCACTTACAAAAAAAATGCAGTCTAGTAAGGTCGAATTATTTAAACTTTTAAATCAAAATTACCTAGAATACGATATGATTGTTCTGAATACATGAGAGATATCTTTCCATGGCCCACGAGATGATGGCTATTCATTTCTGTTGAGGATGATAAACACATCGACTAAGTTTAACAAATTGTAAGTTCGATATTGAGGCATATGATCACAGGGACTAGGAGTTTTTGTTGTGCTTGATGCAAAGGATGGGTTTTGGCTTCAGGTGGAGACAATAGATATTGTTTTGTATTTCGACAATTTGGGTATTGGTTTTGGTAAATGATTCTCCTGCCAGTTTATATTTTGTTTTGAAACTTCGAGGGGGCTCAGGTACGGGAACCCATTATCTGCTACTCTATTCATCCTCGTTATGGCCGTTCAGGGGCCTGCAGGGTTTTCATGTTGGTGTGGAGCAAGGTAATTCACTTCAGTGTCACATCTACTATATGCAGACGACAAATATTTTTTGTGCGGCTGATCCATTACAGTTGCGTCAAAGGGCACTCAGTTGTGTTTTGAGGCTGTCTAGGGTTTGAGGGTCAATTTGAGTAAGTCGGAATTTGTTCCTATTGGGTGAAGTCTCAAATGCTAGAATTCGCATCCATCCTTGGTTACATGGTTCGGGCTCTCCCAATTTCATAAATTGGCTTACCTTTGGGGTCACCATGTTTGTTTACCGGTTTGGGGAGGGGGGATTTCATTGCTAATCTGTAGGGCCCACAAAAATCATGTTTCCTATGGCGTGGGTGGGATTGCTAATCCTATCTTATGGGACCAAAGGTAAAAAGATTATTTTGCCGCCACTTTACAAAAACAATAAAGCTAACTTTTACATAATGAGGCCTTTGACATAATTTCATAGATTTAATCCCAACTAATTAATACCACCACACTAGTGCACAAACAAACGTAATTTATCTTACACCTCCAACCTAATATCACCACACTAATAATCCCGTCATGCAATCTCACCATACTCATTATCTCAATCAACCTAATCGGGCAATCAAACATGGCCTTAAGGCCAAGGTGGCATGGGACGAGGTAGTGAAGTAATTTTAGAAGAGGTTGGCAAGTTGGAACCAGTAGTTGTCAAAGGGATATTGACTTTGTTAAAAGTACTCTATCAAGCCTTCCAACTTATTTTATGTCTTCGCATACTATTCCCATTCAATGGCAAAGATGCTTGAGAAGTTATAGCAGGATTTTCTATGAAGTGGAGTTGGGGAAGAATTCAAATATCACTTTGTTGATTGGTATAAAATTTGCTCTCCAATGAGATTGGGGCTTGGGTATTAGGAGGTTGGCTATCTTTATTATAGCACTGTTGAGCAAGTGATTAAGAAGATATGCTTGTAAGAGGGTGTGGATATCTCTTACCCCACCATGTGTTGTGCACGCATGGACTATGACGTGCGCCTTACAAGTCAAATCAAGGAACCACACATCAGTCTTTGATGCAAATCTACTAGCTTTGGCCACTTTGGCCTATTTGGATAAGTATTCAGCCTAAAGCTAAGGATTAACTCCAAAAAGGCCCATGTTTGATTGGAAACTAACTGATGGTCAAAACTCTCAGTTTTATCATGATGTAAGTCACTTTTTGAGTAGGTTCAATCGTGGCCCCCAATTTTGCAATTTTGTTGTTTTAAGAACGCTTTATTTTTTAAATCACTAAGTTTCTAGTCTTCAAATTTAAGCTTAACTCAAATTTGCTATTTTTTTATTATTTTCCATATTTTTAGCTCGATTAACAAGGAATTATCTTTTTGTAGTCGTTTCTTCGTAGACTCAGGTCTATTATTATAAAAAAATTCAGGTTTATAAATGGAAGAAATGACATCTTGTTAATATCCACTGGCTAAAAATAAGGAGTATGTCATTGAGGGTTAGGTTCAATTAAGAGTTTTTAAGTGTGGTTTGGTCAACCCATACTATGTTAAAGGAGCCGAACTAAACCAAGCATATGACTGCTCAAGCTTCAGTCAGAGAAACATGAGACAGCTCAAGTTTGACAGAAATCCTCAAGCCTCGAGCAAAAATTCTAAAAACTAGGGCTCAGCTCGGCTTGTCTCAAATACATTTGTTTTTAATAGTTTGACTACAAGATGTATTTTTTTAAAAGGAAGAATTACCCAAGATGAACAAATGGGAAAAATTTCCTAAATCATGAAAATTAACCCAAACCCAAGCCAATTTAACCTAAGCCCCCAAAAACCAATCACTAAAAATCATTACCCCTGCCTCCCAGCCGCAAAAGAAATAAGCAAATAAAGCATATTTTACTACTTTAGCAACTACCTTTATAGACCATGGAAAAACCTAGAAGTACCTTATCTCCAAGTCTAACTACAAGAACTTTAAAAATTGGTCACTAAACCAATGCCTGAAGCAGACAATTTAGGACGTACATAACAAATTGAATGTGTAGGATAATCAAACATGAAATAAACCCAGAATTTTTTAGTGTTCATTATTTGAACATCAAATCAGTAATAGGAAAGACACAAAGCATGCACTTCATGAAAATAGAGATGCCAACAAAGAGTGATGCTATACATAATCGTATTTCTTACCTCATTTTCTCACTCCAAGACACAAAGCAATGGGGCCCACATCAATAAATACACATGGGACCCATTCACTTGTGTCTAGGTGTGAGAAAAGGAGGCAAGAAATAGGATTATATATAGCATTCTCCTTCATAAAATGATCTTTGAACAAAAATGCTCTTTTGAAGGTCCATCACAACTCAAAAGGCTAGTCACTTCCAGCCCTTTGATGTAAGCCATGTTATATGGACTCAAGTACGAGTGCCATATATGAGTCTAAATGTTAGATTAATCTGATTCTTATGTCAAGGTCAGTAGGATACGTCTATATTTCACAGTTTTCAAATACTTATGTTGTACAATGGAAGTCTTATGCATAGTTATATAGTGCATTCAACTACTTGTACATATTTGTTGGGTGCTTCTCCAACTAGCATATCAAATACATATCCCATACCCTATGGCCTTACCCAAGTATCAAGTGTCTTACACAAGTACTTCTAGAAGAGTTCATGCAACATAGGATGCAAGTATGTCCATGTAAAACCTCAATATGGAAAATCATGAAATCTTTCCATCAAGCTAGTTCAGAGTTTAGTTTCAGTAACCACACATACCTTATGACACTCCTGCACCCTTTGGCAGGGAGTGAAAACAGAGCAAACATGTTGTATAATAGCACAAGGATGAACAGAAACTGCCAGATGCATTATATACACTTCATAGTAGCTTTCATACATTTAATTTAAGCAGCTAACATCAGAATCAGAATAATAATGATGAGCACACATACTTGCATGGAAAATTTCCAAGAACAGGCATACATACCTTTGCGTACTGGTACTCAATTATGGTTTCGATTCCTCTCTGAACTACTCCGCAAATTCGACAAACATAACCAAGATCATCTTTCAACACAAAAGTATGGTCACACTCATCTTGCTCTTCTTTTACATGTTCATCAGTTGGAGGACCGTCTGCGGTATCCTAAAAGACGAAATAAAGTAGAAATTAACACAGCAAGTTTGAAAATAGGAGAAAACTTTATCAAAGTCAATGAAACTATGAATCTACTAACACATGGTTCTGCAATAAGGGTTTCAGAATTCACTAGTTTAGTTTAACAACCTTGTAATAAATGTAAAAATGCCAACCTCAAACACTGGAATCAAGATTACTAGGTGCTGGTATTGAATACAATTTAACATTGACGTAAAGCATGAGCACAAACTTGATAGAAGTGGGAACATAACTAAAAAATATGTACATTAGGAATGTGTTCAGGCATGGACAGAAATTACATCTGCAACAAGTCTATCAGCCATTCAAATGAAAGCAGGCTGACTTCCATTTGGATAAGACTTCGTTGAGGATTGTATGAAAGAAAAAGTCAAAAGAAACATAAAAACAACAACTACGAAATTTGAATAGAATACTTTTATGCTACAATGCATATTGGAGAAATTAAACAGAGGAGTTCAACTTCTTCATAAAGTTTAAACTTGATTAAAAAATGTTCATAGCAAAGGGTTATGACATGTTAGTCAAGTTATTAGGGTCCTTGATTTCGTAACTTGTAGTGAAAGACGGAAGGAGTCGTGATATCTAAGCACCATAACCGACCATTGTCCACAAGCCAATTAAAGTGTGTCTTTAGGGTAAAAGAAATAGCCTGTGGAGTTGCTTGAGTTGTTAGTTTCTAGTTTGCATAATGCTATAGCTTTTATGACAACATTATTCGGCTTGTTTTGTTTTGGTTTCTAGAAAACATTTTTTTGAAAATTTTACATTTTTATTTTCCGTATTTTTTTGTTTTCAATGGAATTTTTTAAGATTTTAAGCAATTTTTTTTTTAATTTTTAGACACACCTAACATAAATACACTTCAAAAGTATAATATTTGTGAAAAAAAATTTTAAAAATTAACTAAATACCAAAAATATTAAATAAATAAAAAAATACGAAACTTCAGTACATTTTTCGTATTTTTGTGTATTTATTATTTTTTTACAAATATTTTACTATTTAGATACATCTAAGTAAAATGTATCTAAAAAAGTAAAAAAAATTGCTTAATTTTTTAAAATATTCACTAAAACAAAAACACACAAAAAACAAAAAACTCAATTTCCAGAAAACTGAAACCAAATACACAGATTAGTATTTTATTAACAAAAGGAAATCTAGTAACCTTGAAATTATCATTTTTAAGTCACAATTTAGTAAATTTGTTCACTTACGCCATTTTCTAGTTCATATTGATAATGAGAATTATTTGAGTCAATTACATATTTAACCAGAATTGATTTTTTAAAGAACTTTCTATCTCCTTAGAACTTTCATTTTTCTACGAGGTAGATTTTGGTTTTCTTCTTTGGGTTCAACTTCTATTGTTTTCTTTGGTTCCAGACTAGCCATTAGAATTGTTAACGAAAACTTGTTTATTTTAATGAAAACTTGAGTTGCTATGTCCATCTCCTCTAGATTCTTCTTCTCGTACTACTTTGCTTTATTTCCATATTTTTTGTTTAGTCCACGAAAAGGCTATTTCCTTTTTTAAATTTAACCCACAAGAAGACCTTTTTGTTAATTGTGTTTGTGTTCTCAAAGAAAGCCCTTCTTCCCTAAGTACATGCTAGAGCATGATTGCGCCTCTAACTCCTTCAAATAATTCTTTTTGTTTCATTACCAAGTTTTACTCGATGCTGCATTTCATGTTCTTTGAAGCTAATCATCTTCTTAAACAATTACTACTTAATCAAATACATCATTGCAACTAAGCTAAAGCATGAGTGATACAATATCCCATCAATCAAAGCATGATTGAAAGCTGATTGTTTAACGGAAATGGGAATTAGTTGTCCTTAATCTGTGAACTGTTCCACTTCATTTTCTAAAGGTGTTCAACAAACTAGCGTATAAACCAGCCCTTGAACCCATTTAATCCGCATAAAGAAACCTTTTAAACCTTAAAAAATACAAATATTAAAAACGAACAAAAAAACTATTCTGGCTTTCCTTCTAAGTACCCTGTTTAAGAAACATCTTACTAGTAAGTAAATGTGTTTCAAGAACAGCATGCAACAACACATATGCCCATTATTTATTTATTTTTTTGATAAATATTGCCCATTAAAAAACTAATTAAAATATAAGATTTAACTAAACAGTAAAAATTATAGCACTGATTTTGAAATATGCTGCGTCACAGATTCTTAGAACCACAAACATGCAACTAACTTAGAGGGAAAAGAATTGGCAGAATACGTAGAAAGAAGCAAGCATTAACTCTTCAGAAGTGAATTTGAATGAATATATGACACTGGAACTTTTCCAGTGTCAAACACAAAAGTACCTTGGAACATTCTAATGCAACAGTCATTTCCTTCCAAATATCGTCCAGACCATCATAATCATTGCCTTCCTGAGTTTCCATATCATCCTCAACACCAACATAAACACCTTTATCTTTCGTTCTTTCATCTTCACCTTCCATAGCATCCTCTACCTGAACATGAACACCCTTATCTTTTGTGCTTTCATCCTCACTAGCAAGCCTTGCATTGGATTTTTTGAAACTTCGGTTTTGAGCAGAATCCCTATCCTGTACATCATAGTGACACGAAGCAATTACCAGATAGCATAAAATGAAATTAAAACAATGAATCAACGTAAAAATTGAAGGCAAAAGTATTTATCATATTCCCATCAAAAATATAATAATCAGTATCTCATATTCACCTTCCATTAACCTGATCCAGCAAATAACACTCATCACCATATAAAATGTATACAAGCAAAGTTCAGTCAAATTTTTTGCATTGAAATGTAAAGAATATCAAAAGGCAATGACAAGTAGTGTGTCTTGGTGCTGAATTATCAAATATAGAACGGTGAAAAAAAAGGGCATGAGAAAAAAGAACAAGGAAACCTAACTCTCTCATCAAAAGAAGTATCTTCACCAAAATAAATAAAGTTTTTATGTCTGTCATTACCAAAATAATACAGAAGGGGTAATTACAGCTTCACATCACAGAAAAAATTAAATAATTAAAATAGCCAAAAAGCCAAAACACCCAATCAAAAAGCCAACTAAAATAGTCACTTCCCGAACGAGCACTAAGTATCCTTTATTTAGAATCTACAGTTATCTGCTGCATTCAGAGCTTAAGTCCTATGATAGCTTCTGTTGAAACCACAAAATGGGTAAGCTTACATATCTGGCCATACTATCGATGATTTAGGCCTCAAATAGATGAGTTTGGATTTGTGAATACCAAAGGATCCTTGTTTCATGCTGTGGTTACTCCAGTTTGAGACGGCCGTTGAACTAAGAGCAGCCACTTGTGCAAGTGTTTAATCAAATAAGCATATGTATGGTGCATTGCAAAACAAAAGATTGTATTTTAAATATCATGGACCCAATATCTACCACTTCTTGTGATATTTATGCAAAATTTTGATATGGTGCCATTTTTCATATATGTAATTAGTCTAAGGCATTGTTTGACCCAATGCAAATTGAGAATCAAGGGCATTTACGGCAGTTCTCTGCTTATATGCATATATATATAATAAATAAATAAATAAACAGAAAATAGCCAGCTTAATTTTGTTTTTATTTCCTCAAAATAGGCACCATTTGGTAGTCAAAGTTGTGTGCAATGGAATACTAATGTGTTTGGTTTCAGTTTTCTAGAAATCGAGTTTTTTTGTTTTTCGTAGTCTAAGGCATTGTTTGACCCAATGCAAATTGAGAATCAAGGGCATTTACGGCAGTTCTCTGCTTATATGCATATATATATAATAAATAAATAAATAAACAGAAAATAGCCAGATTAATTTTGTTTTTATTTCCTCAAAATAGGCACCATGGGGTAGTCAAAGTTCTGTGCAATGGAATACCAATGTGTTTGGTTTCAGTTTTCTAAAAATCGAGTTTTTTTGTTTTTCGTGTTTTTTTGTTTTTAGTGAATATTTTTAAAATTTCAAACAATTTTTTTACTTTTTTAGATGCACCTTACTTGGATGTATCTAAATAGTAAAATATTTGTGAAAAAATATTTTAAAAAATTAATAAATATAAAAAAATACGAAAATTGTACTGAATTTTCATTTTATTTTATTTTTTTGTATTTTTGGTATTTATTGAATTTTTTTAAGATTTTTTCACAAATATGATACTTTTTAAGTGTATTTATGTTAAGTGTGTATAAAAATTGCTTAAGATATTAAAAAATTCATTGAAAACAAAAAAAAATGCAAAAAATAAAAATGTAGAATTTTCTGAAGTGTTTTATAAACACCAAAACCAAACAAGCTGATAGTTTTTTTTCTCAACATTAGGGCAGTCTTGTTTTGCAGAATGCATTCCTCGAGACCAAAGCCTTAATTGGAAACTGGTTGGAGAAATTCACTAGAGACTATAGTGAAACAATTCCCCTTGCCACTTTCCATAGCAAGAAAAGTCCACACAAAAAAATTTTGGGATGCAAACCAGCAAAAAAAAAAAAAGCTCCCAACCAAATAACTCAAATCTCCCATAGAACTTACAAAAGACTATTAGGACTTCCTCAACCTCCAAAACATAAATGTATATATATACACAAACAAATAAAAGTAATATGCGATTATTCTTTCCATGAAGTTCAACAAGTAATCCTCAAAACAACCAAAGGGCACTGTCATCCAAGCCTGTCTATATCTGTTGCTCACAGAACCCATATGCCAATATCCCATCATATCAAGAGCTTAGGCATGATCCAGCAAATTCCAAAAATATAAAACAACAAGCACAGTGAACACAAGGCACCTCACCAAAAGAAAGGCAGTGATCATCTGCCTCCTCCACTTTTTACACAAGCAACACGAAGATTAAATTAAACACAAAGATTACAACGATTAAACACAAGCAAGTAATCATTCTCTTGCAAGGTTACGAAGATTGCTAAGTATTTTGTAACTAATAGGTCCACAATTAAATTTTTGGAAGAATGCTTGGAGGGGTGAAGGTCCCCTTTTACAACATACCACAATTTCTCGTATTACTAAATTTCATAACCATCTACTTGCTTACCCTCAGGTTCACAATCTATTGGGTGATCTAATTTTGACTTCTCCCATAACCTTTATGATCTCAGACACACAAAAATCATCTCTTTGTCGGGCATTATGAAACACATTGTTATTTTTCCCTTTCATTTAGATATTTGCATGTGACCCTGTAATCCCTCTAGGACCTCATCTTGCAAACCTTTTTTCTCTATTTTTCAATAACTACAACAATCTAAAGCAGCTAAAAATTTGGGGCTTGAAGGTGTCTCCGAAAGTTGAAGCTTTTGCTTATCTTGTGGGCAGAGTTAAAACGCAATTTGTATGGTTCAAATAAAAAGCTCTAGAACCTTACATAGCTTTTGTGTTAAATCTAGGAGAGATATTTAAACTCCGAATCACCTTTCATTCACTGTACTATTCTTATCAATTGTGATGAAGGTCCTTTTGCAGGGAATAGATTGAAGTGGCTTTGCACAACCCATCTTCATTGGGAAATATTCTTTGACGACTTGGGATGTCTAAAGAGCAAACTAATTTGGAAATCCCCATTTATACCTCATCTACCATTTTAAACCAAACTAGAATTATGACATATCCCCGCCTTTTATTATAAATAATTGTCACCAAGAGTGACTTTCTTTTGGTAACATATCCAGAGTGGTTGGTACTTGTCAGGCTGACAGTACCGAGTTTGTCAAGGGTCCATTAAATCTCCCTTCATTACAAAACAGCCAGAAAACATACTTGTGATAAATTTAGACTAGTTCACTATACAGTTTTAAACTACAATTATTTGTTGCTAAAAATCCCATAAGATCTTAACCTCCAATAGCAGAAGAACAACACCAAAATTATCTTTTGCCATTCTTTTTCTTTTAAGTACTATTTAGGTTTGGGAAATTTGGCTATAAACCCCTTTTACCTTTCTTTCATTGTTAGAAGGATTAAGAAAAAAATTATGGGTATGTTTGGTTTGTGTTTGAGAGATGTGTTTTAGAGATAAAAAGTACGAAGAGTTGTTTGGTTTGGTTTTTTTCAAAAGATGTTTTGGAAAATTATTTTGAGAGAGAGTTTTGAAAAAAGTGATTGATTTGATGTGTGTGAGAGAGAGATTTGTTTGAAAAACTTGTTTGGTTTACAAGTTTTGAGAAATTTTTTTGGAAAAATTTGTTTGGTTTGATTACTTTTAAAAACTTATTTGTAGAGAAAATTTCCCAAAAATTTTTCACAAACACAAACCAAACGAACCCTATACTTTCTAAACCCCCTCATAATTATAAAATCTTGCATAAAGGACAAAATTTATTATTTAAATATTTTATCAGACTATTATACCCTCACATATACACAATCCAGATACAAAATTTATCTTCTCTCTCGTCTCTCACTTCTAACCTTAGCTTCCTCCATGGCCGGAGCTGTGTCATTCCTAAGCTCCGACGATCTCTCTCTGCATCTTCTCAACTCTCCTCCTTCAACTCTCCTTCAACTGTTCATCTTCTATCTCGTCTCTCTCTTCTAATCCTAGCTTCCTCCATGGCCGGAGCTGTGGAGAACTTGCAAATCGCGCTGATACATATATATATATATATATCTATATATGTGTGTGTTTGTGTGTTTTGAGATTTGAATTCGAATATATATATATCTACATATTCCGATCTGTAATATATATATATATATATCTATATATATGTGTGTGTTTGTGTGTTTTGACATTTGAATTTGAATATATAGATTTTTGAAAGCTCAAAGTTTTAAAAATCTGAAAAATCTGAAGAACCGGGGTATGAAAAATTGAGATTTCTCAAAAATTTTCAGATTATAGGCCTGATTCAAGGATTATAGGCATGATTCAATGTTTTTCAAAGTAAACATTGATTGATTCAAGGATTATAGGCCTGATTCAAAGCTCAAAGCTCAAAGTTCCATCGATTTTTCAGAGTAAACATCAAATTTCATTTGATAGAACCAGAGTAAATTTTTACTCTGGTTCTATTGCTCTGTTTTTTTCATTTGACAGAATCAGAGTAAAATTTTACTTTTATACAGCGTAAAATTTTACTTTTAGTTTCAGAGTGTAAAATTTTACTCTGATTCATAGTAAAATTTTACTTTCATACAGAGTAAAATTTTACTCTGAAATACATAGTGGGGGTGTTTGGGAAGAAAAAAAATAGCCTAATTTAGGCTAAAATTCACAAAAAGACAAAATAGGCTAAAATAGCTAATAAGACAAAATATCACATCAAACCCATAATCATTTAACTTTTTCTCTCACAAACATCACATCCAACCATAAAAAAATCCAATCATCTTCCCAAACACAAAAATTTTAGCCTACTAAAATAGCCAAAAACTAAAATAGCCTACTAAAATAGCAACTTCCCAAACGAAACCAGTGAAAATGTCTTAATAGGAAAGCTGATAGATATGAGGGTAATATAGTAAAAGAAACAAGTTTTAAAATATCAGGAGGTTTTGAAAGTACTTATATAATTCTTGTCCTTTTGAAAGAGTAATTAAATAGTGAGGGGGTTATGACCAAATCACCCTTTAGGTTTTGCAATTCTTCCCAAATAACATCTATTGAAAGTAGCAACAGGGCTTTCTCTTCATGTGTAACTGCATACATGGATATGTCAATGCAAATGATGAACTTTTTTTTTAAAACAACAAGCAAGTGAACACAAAAGGCAGGCACCTCACCAAAAGAAGGCAGTGATCATCTGCCTCCTCCACTTTTTACACAAGCAACAACGAAGATTAAATTAAAACACAAAGATTACAACGATTAAACACAAGCAAGTAATCATTCTCTTGCAAGGTTACGAAGATTGCTAAGTATTTTGTAAGTAATAGGTCCACAATTAAATTTTTGGAAGAATGCTTGGAGGGGTGAAGGTCCCTTTTACAACATACCACAATTTCTCGTATTACTAAATTTCATAACCCTCTACTTGCTTACCCTCAGGTTCACAATCTATTGGGTGATCTAATTTTGACTTCTCCCTAACCTTTATGATCTCAGACACAAAAATCATCTCTTTGTCGGCATTATGAAACACATTGTTATTTTCCCTTTCATTTAGATATTGGCATTTGACCCTGTTAAAAACGAACAAAAAAACTATTCTGGGCTTCCTTCTAAGTTACCGTTTAGAACATCTTACTATGTAAGTAAATGTGTTTCAAGAACAGCAGCAAACAACACATAGCCATTATATTGTATTTTTGATTAAATATTGCATTAAAACCTAAATAACATATAAAATTTAAAAACGTTAAAAATTATGCACTGATTTTGAAATATGCTGCGTACAGTTCTAACACAAACATAACTAACTTGAGGGAAAAAATGGTGATGCAGTACTAGAAAAAGCAAGCATTAACCTTCCAGAGGATTGAATGAAATATGGACCTGGAACTTTTCCAGTAAACAAATACTCTGGAACATCTAATGCAACATCCATTTCCTCCAAATATCGTCCAGACATCATAATCATTGCCCTTACTGAGTTATCCATATCTCCCAAACACCAACTAAACATTTCTTTGTTCTTATTCTTACCTTCATAGCATCTCCTACTTGAACAACACCTTATTTTTGTGCTTTCATCTCACTAGCAAAGCTTGCATTATTTTTTTGAAACTTCGGTTTGAGCAATCCTCCTTAATCATAGTGACACGACAGCATACCAGATCATTAAATAATAAAATGAATCATCGTAAAAAATTGAAGGCAAAAGTATTTCATATTCCCATCAAATAATTAATAATCAGTATCTCATATTCACCTTCCATAACTATCCACAATAACACTCATCACCATATAAAATGTATAAGCAAAGTTCAGTCAAATTTTGCATTGAAATGTAAAGAATATCAAAAGGCAATGACAAGTAGTGTGTCTTGGTGCTGAATTATCAATATAGAACGGTGAAAAAAAAGGGCATGAGAAAAAAGAACGAAACCTAACTCTCTCATCAAAAGAAGTTTCTTCACCAAAATAAATAAAGTTTTTATGTCTGTCATTACCAAAATAATACAGAAGGGGTAATTACAGCTTCACATCACAGAAAATTTAATAATTTAAAATAGCAAAACCAAAACACCCAATCAAAAACAACTAAAATAGTCACTTTCCGAACGAGCACTAAGTATCCTTTATTTAGAATCTACAGTTATCTTCTGCATTCAGAGCTTAAGTCCTATGATAGCTTCTGTTGAAACCACAAAATGGGTAAGCTTACATATCTGGCCATACTATCGATGATTAGGCCTCAAATAGATGAGTTTGGATTGTGAATACCAAAGGATCCTTGTTTCATGCTGTGGTACTCAGTTTGAGACGGCCGTTGAACTAAGAGCACCACTTGTGCAAGTGTTTAATCAAACATATGTAGTGGTGCATTGCAACAAAAGATTGTATTTTAAATATCATGGACCAATATCTACCACTTCTTGTGATATTTATGCAAAATTTTGATATGGTCCATTTTTCATATATGTAATTAGTCTAAGGCATTTGTTTGACCAATGCAAATGAGATCAAGGGCATTTACGGCAGTCTCTGCTTATATGCATATATATATAATAAATAATAAATAAACAGAAAATAGCCAGACTTAATTTTGTTTTTATTTCCTCAAAATAGGCACCATTTGGTAGTCAAAGTTGTGTGCAATGGAATACTAATGTGTTTGGGTCAGTTTTTAGAAATCGAGTTTTTTGTTTTTCGTGTTTTTTTTGTTTTTAGTGAATATTTTTAATTTCAAACAATTTTTTTACTTTTTAGATGCACCTTATTGATGTATCTAAATAGTAAAATATTTGTGAAAAAATTTTTAAAAAATTAATAAATATAAAAAAATACGAAAAATGTACTGAATTTTCATTTATTTATTTTTTTTTGTATTGGTATTTATTGAATTTTTTAAGATTTTTTCACAAATATGATACTTTTTAAGTGTATTTATGTTATTGGGTATAAAATTGCTTAAATTAAAAAATTCATTGAAAACAAAAAAAAATGCAAAAAAATAAAATGTAGAATTTTCTGAAGTGTTTTATAAACACCAAAACCAAAACAAGCTGCTAGTTTTTTTCTCAGCATTAGCGGTCTCGTTTGCAGAATGCATTCCTCGAGACCAAAGCCTTAATTGGAAACTGTTGGAGAAATTCACTAGAACTATAGTGAAACAGTTCCCCTTGCCACTTTCCATAGCAGAAAAGTCCCACAAAAAAATTTTGGGATGACAACCAGCAAAAAAAAAAAAAAGCTCCCTACCAAATAACTCAAATCTCCATAGAACTTACAAAAGACTATTAGGACTTCTCAACCTCCAAAACATAAATGTATATATATACACAAACAAATAAAGTATATGCGATTATTCTTTCCACAAGTTCAACAAGTAATCCTCAAAACAACCAAGGCACCGTCATCCAAGCCTGTCTATACTGTTGCTCACAACCAATGCAATATCCCCATATATCAAGAGCTTAGGCATGATCCAACAAATTCCAAAAATATAAAATAACAAGCACAGTGAACACAGGCACCTCACCAAAAGAAAGGCAGTGATCATCTGCCTCTCCACTTTTTACACAAGCAACACAAGATATAAATTAAACACAAAGATTACAACGATTAAACACAAGCAAGTAATCATTCTCTTGCAAGGTTACGAAGATTGCTAAGTATTTGTAACTAATAGGCCACAATTAAATTTTTGGAAGAATGCTTGGAGGGGTGAAGGTCCCTTTTACAACATCCACAATTTTCTCGTATTACTAAATTTCATAACCATCTACTTGCTTACCCTCAGGTTCACAATCTATTGGGTGATCTAATTTTGATTCTCCCATAACCTTTATGATCTCAGACACACAAAATCATCTCTTTTCGGGCATTATGAAACACATTGTTATTTTTCCCTTTCATTTAGATATTTGCATGTGACCCTGTATCCCTCTAGGACCTCATCTTGCAACCTTTTTTCTCTATTTTTCAATAACTACAACAATCTAAAGCAGCTAAAATTTGGGCGTTGAAGTGTCTCCGAAAGTTGAGACTTTGCTTATCTTGTGGGCAGAGTTAAAACGCAATTTGTATGGTTCAAATAAAAGCTCTAGAACCTTACATAGCTTTTGTGTTAATCTAGGAGAGATATTAAACTCCGAACCTTTCATTCACTGTACTATCTTATCATTGTGATGAAGGTCCTTTTGCAGGGAATAGATTGAAGTGGCTTTGCACAACCCATCTTCATTGGGAAATATTCTTTGACGACTTGGGATGTCTCAAGAGAAACTAATTTGGAAATCCCCTTTATACTCATCTACCATTTTAACCAAACTAGAATTATGACATATCCCGCCTTTATTTATAAATAATTGTCACCAAGAGTGACTTTCTTTTGGTAACATATCCAGAGTGGTACTTGTCAAGCTGACAGTACCAAGTTTGTCAAGGATCCTTAAATCCCTTCATTACAAACAGCAAAAACATACTTGTGATAAATTTAGACTAGTTCACTATACAGTTTTAAACTACAATTTTGTTGCTAAAAATCCCATAAGATCTTAACCTCCATAGCAGAAGAACAACACCAAAATTATCTTTTGCCATTCTTTTCTTTTAAGTACTATTTAGGTTTTGCAATTCTTCCCAAATAACATCTATTGAAACTAGCAACGGGCTTTCTCTTCATGTGTAACTGCATACATGGATATGTCAATGCAAATGATGAACTTTTTTTTATTATAAATATATGGTTCAGCAGTCAACGAGAAAGATTATTTATTTGACATTTGTCCTCATTTGTCTTTATGTCTGGAACTCAGTACTTCTTAATCTTTATATATCTGAATACTCAAAATTTTAAATTGCAGGAAAAAAAAGTTACCAGAAAATCCTTCATTAGAAACTCCCCAGCTGGCTTTGGCAAGACAATCTCTCGATATGGGTACAACGATTTCTGGTCTCCTGTCTCTTCATCATCCGAATCAATAACTACAATCGGCAATCTCTCAACTGGAACATCATTTGCAACATCATCGTCAACCAAGTCAATGACATCCTTCTGAGCCGAAGGAGTTGCCGGAAGGTTCTCCTTTGAAGCCCCCCTTGCCAGGTTAACTTCTACGTCCATAAGCGTCGGATCCAATCCAAAATAAGTATTTAATGTTTGCCTCCTCCTATCAATTAGATCCTTTATTTCTTTGGTAACACTACCATATTTACCACTATCAAGAGACTCTAACAAATTCGGCACCGCAAATGGATCAGAATAATCAATAACTTTCGAAGAAGTTTTTGCTTTCTTCAATTTGGGTTCATCACGTGCCACATTTCCGTTCAATTTTTCTTCACCGGGTGATCTTGTTCTCTTCCGTTCCCTGTAATACACTCCTGCTAGAATTTTGGAAAGTTAGTCACAATCCCTATAACAATCAATGAATCCCATTTATGTATAATTTGAGTGTGAAAACAAAATGCAACACCTAAAAAAAATGGGGGAATTACACATTAATGAAAATTTTAATGACTTTGATTATTAATATTTATAATGTTTACCATTTCTTTGTAAATCATTTTTTTCAATACCTCAGATGGGTAATTCTCCCCCCAAAAAAAAAATATATTTATTAAACAGTTCATCTACCGTTTTAATCCTCACCCAACCCACAAAAAAAACACAACAACAACAAAAAAAAAACATAATATAGATCCACAAAATTTAAAATATATATATATTTCAAATAAACAATTGCAGAGGTAAGTAAGAGTGAGAATACCAGTGGGGCTATAAGGTGGAAACTTGGCTGCTAGTGGGCTGGCATAATTGCTTGGCCAGCCTCCGAATGCTGACTCCATGATCACTACATTCCACAAAAACAACAAAGCTAATTACTTCAATTGATCAGGTACATTCAATGACAATGATTTGTACGGATCGAGTTACATAACTATAGGCTCAGAAAATGCTTGTTCATCATCGTTTTGAGCCTTAAAATCAGCAAGAAAACTAAAACCCTAACCAAAAAAATCTGGAAAAAAATTTTAAAAAATAAAAAACTAAAACTAAAATTGGCGTGAAAAGAGAGGTCAACGAAGAGTGAGAATGACTGACCTTGTCGAGCACGAAGCTTGAGCTCTCTCGTCTAGGCTAAAACGAAGCAGGAAGAACAATGGCGTAGGGATTTTAGGAGAGAGAAATGGGGGTTTTTAGAGAGACAGTGGGGGAAGGAGGAGAGAGAGAGGTGATGAACAGGTGCAGGCGAGAAACCCTTACAGGTGCCAATTAGTTGGTGCGTGTGGACAGTAACAGTCGACACACACACCGCGCGTATAGAGAGAGAATCGCATTCGCCTTGCAAATTGATGTGTATATCGCTCATACCCTCTACTAATATAGATTATTTTTTTATAATTTAAAAAATTATAAATATTCTTTTATTAAAAAAATTTATTTAACAAAATTAACTTTTAAAAAAAATCATAATCCCTCTTGTATAAAATAATAAAATTACATGAATTATTAATTGAAACATATTTATAATATTATTAAAAATTGTTAATTGACTTGATAATTTATTAATGGACAAACAACACTAACAGTTCCTGTAATTTGGAAATCGTGTCAATTTGGTCCATGACTTTTCAATTGTGACACATTTGACCCTGAATTTTAAATCTTATTTCAAATAAAGAAATTAAAGTTATCATTGCTTAACTTCAATGACAAAATTGTCAATTTGATAAAATATAAACTAATTTGACCAAAATAAATATCAAAAAAATATTTTTAAATTTTTAAAAATTATTTCTACCCACCAAAGATAAAATTATGTAAAATTAATAAATCTTTTAGATATTTACTTATTTACCAAATTATTTTTTATTATGTATTTGGATGACGATTATGCAATAGGTGGTTGTTAGACTTTCAATGTGTAATCGTTATATTTAATATATGAAATGTTTTTAGTTTTGAATTTTTCGATTTAATGGATTGGTTTAACAATGATATCAAAGTTGTCACCATTTTTAACTTTTGAAAAAATAGAAACTACTTTAATGAAAATAAAAATAACCACTCATTACATGATCGTCATCAAAACACATAATAAAAATCAATTTAGTAAAATAAATAAATAAATAAATGTTTAAAAGATTTATCAAATTTACATAATTTTACCTTTAACGGGTATAAATAATTTTTAAAAATTCAAAAATATTTTTTTTGACATTTATTTTTGTTAAATTAATTTATATTTTATCAATTTGATGATTTTGCCTTTAAAATTGAACAATGGTATCTCCAATTATTCTTATTTGGAGTAAGATTCAAAATCCATGATCAAATGTGTCACAATTGAAAAGTTAGAGACCAAAGTGACACGAGCCCCAAATTATAGGGACCATTAGTGTAATTCACCTTCCATTAATAAAATGGACGATTTATTATGAAATCAAAAACCTCAAAGGATGGAATATAATTTCCCAGAACTATAGAGGGCGATTTATATTTTAATCAAATCTCAGGAGTGTATTTGTAATTTACCCTATTTTTTATTATTTCAAAATATTAGATACTTTTCAAAAACGAAAAATTAAAATAATTTAAATTTTTTTGTTTTATCATTCTTTTAAATGCATTAATTATTGCTATTGATGTTTCTCAAAAACAATAATAGGTAAATTTTAGAAAGTTTATATTTTTTAAAGTATAATAATCGTGCTATAAAAAAATTAAAAATTAAAAGCTTCTTTCGCATGATCTATGGTAGCACACTTTTTTATCAGCACACTTTTTATCTTTTTTAGATTATACCGGGAGATGTTAAGATGTGCACCTCAATAAGATGTGCACATCATATACAAATTTATTTTAAGCTATTAGATTTTTACAAATTAATCTCAGTCACTAAATAATTTGATTAGGAATCCTGACTACCTCTTTAACCGGTTACCTTTTTTTTAAATTTCTTCAGTTGTTTTCCCAAAGCCCCTCTGTTTTTGAGACACCACTCAGACACTCTTCTTCGCCCTCGAAGACCATCCCTGCGAACACGACCTACCCTCGACTTCGCCTGAAGGTATGTCTCTCTCTCTCTCTGTGCAACTTTTTTCTCTCTCCCTTTCTCCATCTCCATTCTATGAAACCCTAGACCGCAATCCCTTTCTTTGAAACTGCCCCTTTCACGTTTGTGAACTCACTGGGTTGGTTTATAAAAATAGGAAAATATTAGGTTTAGGTTTTTTATGTTTGTTCACTTTGGCAGTTGTTTTGATTCCCTTCTACGAAATCTCTTTTTGTTAACCCCTATTTCCTGTATCGATTCTGGTTTCACATTCTTCAAAATCCCCTTTCACGTTTATGAACTCACTTGGAGTGGTTGGATTCTAAATTTAGGAAAAGATTATGTGAATAGCTTTTGTTTGTAATGTTTGTTTGATTTGGTAGTTGCTTGAAGGGACTGAATATAATTTTCTTTTGGTGTGCTTTTATGTTTGCAGGTATTCATGAAGTAAGTGTGCTGCATTTGGATTGGATGTAAAGCCATTCATTGTTTGGTTGTTGTAACAACTCATGTAATTATTTAAGTTCATTTAATTTATTTTCTGGATTCGTGTACTGTGATATCATTTTTTTTTATGGTAGTTGTATATATTTCCATTTATTATGCTTGTGGTTTACATTGTTAGATAATTCTGTGTCTTATTTGTAAGTATTTTTTGCTCCCTACGAGACCAATCGCGATGGCTGAGAGCCTGCCACTTCTCTACTACTAGTAGTATTTTTTCCAAGTATTTTATTATCTTTGTTTTGGGTATTGTTGTGTTGTTCTTCTCCTTTCTCCAACCTAAATTTTAGTGGTGAAAGATGTCACGACCCCATTCCGCCCCTAGTAGAATGGTGCCATGATAGCCAGTAATTCACAATTACCCAAGGCCAACTTGCAAGGTTTCACACACAACAGAGTATACGTATGGGGCTTACAAGTGCGGAAGCAATAAATTTACAACTAAGTAGTCCATAAGAGCTGTGCATAAGTCAAATGGAATGGCATGCATCATTACATAGCTTTACAATCTTGAATACAAACAAAAGGAAGTACAAAAAGAATACATCTTGACCAAAAGGCTTCTCAAGCCGACATGTGCAAATTACAAGTATTACAAGTCGAGAAGCATAATTTTCAAGACTGCCGACGTGAATGCAAGTCAAGCCGACATAACAAAAATCCAAAACAAGCTCGCGAATCACATCTAGGCGTCACCGCCTTCTTGCTCATCACCTACATATATATATATAGAGAGAGGGTGAGCTTGGATACTCAGTGAATGGTATAAATAGCAGCTAGATGATCAATAAGAACAACAAGAGTAGTTCAAGATTCTAACCTTAAAACTCGAATCTACCGGTTCAAACTCCAAAGATCAAGCTTGGTAGTCTATTTCCTCCCTCAAGAACTCCTTCTTCTTCCTAGAGTCTCTCTCTCTAAAAGACAAAGATGTGATACAAAAATGACATGTTTCTAGCTCTGCCGGCTGACTTAACCCTCTGCAGGGGCACGTGGCAACGGCTGGTTGGTTCTACTTAAAAAGGTGACTGAGTGAAAAGACAAAACTATGACAAAGTGTACTCAATAAGCTAGGCGGCAAGAGCACTCCGACAAGTAACGACATCGGCTAACAACAAGACTTTGGCAAGCAAGGGGCAAGGACATCGGCTAGAAAGGACAACACTTAGCCTAGTTGTGCCACACCTTGGCTTAGATGTGCCATACCTCGGTCTAGGTCGTACCAATCCAGGAGTAAGGTCACTTGGGTTCAAGGGTAACATCTCGGCCTAGATAATACACATCTTGGCCTCGGCGATGAACACCTCGGCCTAGATAGTGACATCTCGACCAACATGTCAAAGCGAAGGTGGAGTCAACCAAAGTAAATTCCAAGATGGTCTTAGATGTAAGAGGTTCAAAACTGACCTAGGCTCAGGGTGACCTCGGCTAAACCCACACCGAGTAAGGTGCAAAGCATGCTGTAACATTTAAGCGAACAAGGACAAGACTTGAAATGCAAGCTTAACAAGACAGAATCATATGAATGCATATGAGTATGGTTAGGACAGTGTGAGGGTTATTACAAAAGATCCTCTGTTCTCAAATGTTTGTTATTTGTCCTTAAAAACACTCATAATTAGTGGATTACATGAGAATCTCAGGTGTAAGAATTTGAAACATATCCACTGATTGTATTCTTATGGAAGTGACAGAATACTCATCATCACTAGGCTAATATAAATGTTGGGCCCCAAATATCAATTTTGAATTACTTTGGAATTCGGAGCAACCTTTCTTAAACATTTGAAATAAAAATCCTAGTTAACATCATGAATGTTTACAGAAGCAATCTTCTGCCTAAGCACTCTTTCCATGGTGCATTTTTGCATCTCTTTTCATGTTTGATATGTTTTTACCCGTGCTATCTTTATATTGAACTTCTTAGTCATTTATTTACCTTGAATTGTTTCTTGCAACTTGAACTTGAGGAATATTGGTACCAAAAGTGAAGATGAATATGACTAATGTCATGTGAGAATTGCTCACGGGAGACGAATCTTATGCGAATATGCATTGTGCTTCTATAATAGGTATGCGCTGATATATCTATCTAGTTTTGTAATATAACACTACTTTTCTCTCTAAATATTCATGTACACGTACGTAGATTGTCAGAGAGATCATTGCTGTGTGTATGCTACTGTTGATGTTTTTATCATTGTTGTGTGTATGCTGCTGTGTGTATGCTACTGAGATAAAAATTCATAAAAACCCCAAACTCCGTATCTGGTGGAGTATTTATTTTTCCTAAATGACCTTGGTTGGACTCTTGTATTTGTTGTATAACTGGTCTCTTTTTTATTTATTTATTTTTTAGTGTTATTGTCTTGCATATTGCCTGATTTATTAATTCTTTTTGCTTTTATGTATATGTATTTTTATGAATTTTATTTGTTATTCCCTATTTATTTAAGTTTATATTTTATTAAAAAAAAAACAGAATTCAAAAGGTTTATGACTCGCATCTTCAGGAGTAAAATGCCTCACCTTGCGCTTTCGCCTTTCAAAACTGTGCTTAGTATTGTGAATCCTGCATTTCAATTCATACACTTGTGCCATATTCCCTTCCTTTGGGTAGGGTCTGTGCAGCTGCATCCCAAATCTCCTTTGTGGTATCCATGAAAAAATAACCACAATTGATTTCAGGCTCCATAGAGTTGAGATGCCATGATATGGCAGCAGAATTCTGGGAGTCCCACTAATCATAAAGTGGGTTATTGTCCCTTGGTTACACAATTTGTCTAGTTACATACCCTATTTTCTCGCTACTTTTGATAAACAACTTGGCTGATTGAAACCAAGACAAATAATTGCGCCCATTAAGCTTTACCATGGTAATTTGTAAGGTAGGATTATGCGTTACAGCTTGGAGAGAAGTAGCCAATGATTGTTGACTGTTGAGAAACCACACTTTATTCCGAGTGTAAGTCGCCCCCCTCTTTTAATGAAGAACCAATAAAATTGTTCCTAAAATGCTTCAATGGACAGATCTGAAAATACTCAATTTTTTTTGCTACAAGTAAGAAAAAATTGGAAAAACCAGAGTAAGGCCTGTCCAATGGAAACACAAAATATATAGGGTAAGTGAGCTCTCCTAGTCGATCATGGAAAGTTTTATCAGATTTGAAGAGAGAATAAAATAAGAATGAAAAGAGAAGAGAAATAAGGTTATATGAAAATAGGAGAGATTGAGAACATTAGGGTTCTCTCCCTTAATTTCTTATATTATACTAATCTATAAAAAATTACAAAACTAACCAACAGCTTATGCAATTGCCACACCATAATGACGTTGAATTATTTAGCATCCCCTAAGTTTAGGCAAGAAAACTTGTGTTTGTTTTCTTTAATACATTGAGTTTTCAGACCATGGGAATCTGGAAAGCATTTATGCATTGTATTGAGCCCAAGAGAACAAAGTTCAGATCAGTCAAAAAAAACCCCACTCGGCAAAAACAGAACAAAGGCCACACTGGAGTTTTTCATATTTTTCGTAGTTTGGGGAGAGACCACTGTAATTGCTTTCTCCACTGTTTGAATGTATTATTGATAATCATGTATTTCACTGCTTGAGATTAGCTATCTGGTTTGGTGTGTCTACCTTTAAGCATACAAATGGCTTGCCTACGCATCAACTGGTTTGTCTAAATAGAATTATTTTTTGGCTCTTCTTTTGATTCATTTTTCTCAGAGATCTGAACATGAAAACCATCCTCATTGTAGTTTGTTGTTTTTTATTGTCTAGTTGGATGGTAGGTTTATCGTTTCATTGTGTCTATTACTTTGGTGTAATGTGTGGGCCAGCAATGATCTGACATCCCATTGATGAGGTAGGTATGTATTGCCTTGTTGACTGTTAGGAGTAAGCTGGCTTGTTTTCAATTCTATTTGCATTCTCAGCTCTTCTCTGTTTTGATTTTGTTGCTACACATGTGATGGAAATATTGATTTTGTGATGGAAATATCTATTTGCCTTGCTACCTATGTTCCATTGTAATTTTGCAGCTTATTGGAAGCCATTGATCTCGTTCTCTAAGGTGCGCAGAGTCTTGTGCTACCAATAAAGTTCAATTCAAGAAGAAAACTACAAAAATCTAGTGGAATTGAGGTATCTGTTGGATCTGTTGGAGTACTCCTCTTGAAAATGACTGGAAACAGTACTGTGATGAGGATCTGTCATTTTCCATATTGATGGATCTGTTGGATCTTGTGGAATTGATGTATCTTGTGGTATCTGTTGAAAGCCATTGATTTCATGTGTTATTTGAAGTATCTTATGGCTTTGAATTTTTGATTTCTTCTGAGTATGAATTTGAATTTTGTTTTTTTAAGATTTCATTATAATGTATTTGGCTTAGTCTAGTGGAAGATTTGTTTTTTTTTGGGGGGAAATTGCATATGGCCTCCATTGGTATTTAAAATGTTGGTAGTATTCAGATTACTTCTGTTCCAAAGCCTGGATCTTTGCCTCTTGTTTCAGATAGGGTGATTACTACCAATATTTTAATGTTTTCAATGACATTTTAAAATATTTTAAGCATTTTTTTTAAAGTTTTTAAACACACCTAACATAAATACACTTAACTAGTATAATATTTGTGAAAAAAAATCTTTACAAAATACACTAGATACAAAAAAAAAAAATTTTTTGAAAAGTCAGTACATTTCTCGTATTTTTGCATATTTATTAATTTTTAAAATATTTTTCACAAATGTTTTACTATTTAGATAGATCTAAGTAAGGTGCATCTAAAATAATAAAAAAATTACTTAAAACTTTAAAAATATTCACTAAAAACAAAAAAACACAAAAAGCAAGGAACTCAATTTTCAAAAAGGTCAATTCAAAAAGCTGAAACCAAACACACTGATTAGACTCTTTTCACTTTGGTCCAAATTGTAACAAATGTTATACTTCTGTGACGGAAAATGCCCCATTGGTCAAGTTCACCTAAATTTGTACCAAATCCTCTGCTATAGACCATCTCAACATGTAACCCTCCATTATAGAACCCTTCCATTTACTGCCTACCATGAACCATCTATTTTGAAGTGTGAAAACAAAGGTCTCCAAGTGATCATGGTAGGAAAGTTAATTTTAAAAATTCCAAAGTTTCCCTCAGAAGTTAGCAATTGGACCAAAGTAAGAAAAGACAAATTAAGATGGAGAGCAGAACCCTCAAGGAAATTCAGTGTTGACTCAATTTGTAAATGGTGTGAATATTCTCAACGCCCAATCATGCTACCTCCTAAGCTGCTCTAGAACAACATTAGTCATCCAAAAGTTCAATTTCTAAGCTGGTTTGCTTGGAAATGGAGAGTAAAAACTATGGTATTTCTTCAAAAAAATTGGGGTTGTAAATATTAATGCTAATACTACTTGTGTCTTATGTAATGGTTAGGCTGACGATGTGAATCACTTATTCATGAGTTGTAAACCTGTACGATGTTTATGGTCTGCAATGTTAAAGTGGTGGTGAGTTCAATGGGCAATGCCAAACTCAGTGGGGGGAGTTCTACAATGGCAGGTAGGGTATAGATGGAAGAAATTTAATAAGAAAATTTAGAGAGCCATTCTACTCACAGTACTTTGGTCCATATGGAAGCAAAGGAATGATTGTATGTGTAATACATCTGATTTTGATATGGAGGAGTTATGTCAACTTGTCAAAACAAGGATTGTTTTTCGGGGTAAAAGGCAACTCACAAGAGATGTACTGTCCCATAATCAACTTCATTTCAAATTTAAATCAGGTAAGATTGTGTTTAGGAGGAAGGGGTGCTGTCTGATTTTCTGCTTGATGCTACTGCTGTTCAAGCTTTTATGCGGGGTCATTTTGGATACAATGATCTCATTTGCAAATGGCGAGTAGATTTAGTTGTTTAATGTCAGTCCATTGTATTGAATGTTGTTTGATGTCAACCTAGACCACACCAATTGCGAATGGCCAACCAATTGAGAATGGAAAAAATTTAAAGCAGCCCTTGATCCACTGTGTGACTCTCGTGGATAGCTTCTCCATGACAAATAAGACTTGTCACAACTGACAAAACGTAATTCAGACCTGTAGGTAGAGAGTTAAAGCCGAATACGCCTTAAA